ACAGAAAGAAATCATGGACATACTTGCATTCACAACAGACTCAAAGAAAATAAAATATCTAGGAATAAACCTAACCAAGGAAGTGAAGGACCTTGGCAATTAAAACTTTAAACTTCTGAAGAAAGAGAAGGTTATTAGAAAATGGAAAGGCTCAAGGATTGATAGAATCCATATTGTAAAATTTACCATTCTGCTAGAAGTTATTTACAGATTCAATGCAATCCCACTCAGTCTCATTCCTCACAGGAATAGAGATGAAAACCCAGATAACCAAAACAAATCTGATATAAAAAAAAAGAACAATGCTGAACAGATTACCATTTCAGATTTTAAGATATATTACAGAACCATAGCAATAAAAAAAAACATGATGCTGGCACAAAAAAAGACACGTAGGACCAGTGGAACAAAATCAAGGACCCAAACATAAGTACATGTAACTCTAGCCATTTAATACTTGACAAAGTGCCAAAAATATACACTGGAGAGAATGAAGCATCTTCACAAATGATGCTGGAAAAACTGGATGTCCTCATGCAGAAGAATGAAATTAGACCCATATCCTTCACCTTGCACAAAACTAATTCCAAATAAACCAAAGATCTAAGTGTGAAACCTGAAACCCTGAAACTTCCAGGAGAAAACATAAGCTGTACCCCACGTGATAAAGGTTAGGAAAGGACTCTGAATTTGACCAAGAATTGCAGCCAACAATTGACAAATGGGACCTCTTAAAACTGAAATGTTTCTGCACAGCTAAGGAAACAAGCAGCTGGACAAAGAAGAAACCCACAGAATGCGAGTCTCTGCCAGTTATATATCTGAGAAAACATTCATGTCCCGAATATATAAAGAAATACATATACGAGTGTGTGTATATACGTATATATTTGTGTGTATGTATATGTGTGCACAATACATGTATTGATTTTTAGAGACATGGTTTCTCTGTGTAGCCTTGGCTGTCCTGGAACTTGCTCTGTAGACCAGGATGGCCTTGAACTCAGAGATCCTCCTGCCTCTGCCTCCCAAATGCTGGGATTACAGACATGTACCACCACTGCCCAGCATATATATACATTCTGGGACCTAAATAGTGAGTTCTCAAAAGGAGGAGAAAATGGCTACAAAGTATCTTCAAAAATATTTACCATCTCTAGTCATTAGGGAAATGCCAATCAAAACAATTTTGATGTTTTATTTTACCTCAGTCTGTACGGCAAAGATTAACAAAACAACTAACAATAACGCTTAAAGTAGTGTGAAGAAAATGGAACCCTCTTTCACTGTCGGTGGGATTGCAAACTGGTTGAGGCACTCTGGAAATCAGTGTGAAAAATTCTCAAAAAATAAAAATAAATCTACCGTGGTGGCGCATGCCTTTAATCCCAGCACTCAGGAGACAGAGGCAGGCGGGTCTCTGTGAGTTTCGAGGCCAGCCTGGTCTACAGAGCGAGTTCCAGGACAGCCTCCAAAGCAATACAGAGAAACCCTGTCTTGAAAAACTAAAAAAGAAAAAGAAAAAGAAAAGATCAAAATGAGTGAGGGAACATAGACCCAGAAATACGAACATCACTTGTTCTCTCTCATACAAGGCTGCTAGCAACAAATCTTCAGATGTGAGTATACAGCCTAGAGTAACTGCAGAAACCAGGGAAGTAAAAGGGACCATCGCCAAGGTAGAGGAGTGAGCAAGCAGTAAGGAGGGGAATCGCAGGGTGTAAGTGATCCGATTGGCAGGACGGGGAGAAACGGGCTCTAATCGCAAGGTGTAAGTGATCTGATTGGCAGAACGGGGAGAAACGGGGTCTAATCGCAAGGTGTAAGTGATCTGATTGGCAGAACGGGGAGAAACAGGCTCTGATCGCAAGGTGTAAGTGATCTGATTGGCAGAATGGGGAGAAACAGGGGCTCTGATCAGGGACAGGAGAAGATAAACCCAAAAGGAAGGAGAAGGGTATCATATGGGTAGCTATTACATTAAAAGACCCTGGAATACACATAAGTATGTATATATAAGCACATGTATATGTAGTTTAAATTAAGTTTTCCCTCTGAGCTAACAATGCTCCTCCTAAGAGTCAATGACAATCTAACACAACCTCAATGACATGAGATACTCTTTTTTTTTTTTTTTTTTTTTTGCATTGTTGGTCAGAGTTGTCCAAAGGACTCCCAAAACACTCCCACACCTAAGGTTCAGGGAACCGTGCAGAAGACTGTGTGTAAAGACAGGAACGAACCAGAGGTGTCTGTGTCTCCCGGTAACTTCAGAGGCCACACCCACAAGGGCTCACCAGCATGACTGCCCAAACGGGAGCCGAACAAGAACCACAATAGTAGACACGCTGAAGTGATGGGGAAAACACCACAAGACCTCAGCCCTAGAAGCACCAAGGCAGGCTGAGAGTAGGAAAAAGTCTTCCCCAGGGAAAGCGCACCAACTGGTCATCAATATGCTGAAAACATGTACATACAAGTAACATTCTACAGAATAAGCACATTGTATCTATGTCTTTAGGACTATATGTGTGTGCATATAAATAGGTATATGCTGAAAACGTGTACATACAAGTAACATTCTACAGAATAAGCACAGTGTATCTATGTCTTTAGGACTATATGTGTGTGCATATAAATAGGTATATGCTGAAAACATATACATGCAAGTAACATTCTACAGAATAAGCACAGTGTATCTATGTCTTTAGGACTATATGTGTGTGCATATAAATAGGTATATAACAATAATTAATGGAAACAAAGGCCATGAAAGAGATCAAAGAGAGGTATATGGGATGCTACAGAGGGAGGAAAGAGAAGGAGGAAATTGTGCATATATTATGATCTCAAAAACTACAAGGAAGAACTCGTAAAAAAATCTTTTATGCAACAGTAAGCCTCTGTCTTTAAAGTATTTTTCTGTCTTTTCTCCAAAGATAACATTTAGCTCTCTATTCTCCTCCATAAAATTTGATCATCATAATTAACAAGCTTCTCCTGATATCTCCTCTTCATAACAAGTAAAATCAGATTTTCATTTGCCTTCATGGTAATGTTGCATTCATCTGTTTGACTTGATTAATGTGTCCCTTGTGCAGGACAAGACCCAGGCCCATGTCTGGACTGCCCTGAGTCCCCTATACGGAGCCAAACCTATGCTTTTCAGGTCAATAATTAGTTGCTGAGTGAGCAAAGGAAGGAATGGGCATATATCAGATCAGTGAGTGGCTGTCCTGTAATAGGTGGCTCTCGGTGACAGATGGGTGTGGAGAGAAGGCATATTGTCAAACAGGATTCCAGTTGTCATTGTGAGTCACCTGGGTGACTTTAAAGGTTACCTAACGCCTTCTTCCCTGGGCATATCATACTGGAGTTTATAAGGTACCCTCTCCTGGGGCAGAAGGTCCAATTCACCCTAAAGACATCGATCTCCTTCAACCAGCCACTAATGACAGACATTTCTTTACTAGCTCACAAACCTCTCATTCATAGCCAGAGATCAAAGGTAAGGTACAAATGCATTTCCTCAATCAGAGAGACAGAAACACACTGACTGACTGGTCCAGGAATCTACAGAGCTGGACTTCAGCCTTGCCTGGGCTTCAGAGGACATGACAGGAAGTAGGATAAGAACACACTCCACTCAGGGTTCAAAGATACAGAGAAGTAGGGCAGAAGCAGCCGACAAGCAGACACGGCACTTTCAGCTTGGACCTCGTCATAATCCTCCTGGGGCCACTTGCTCTCTGCTCTCGGGGACAGTGTGTAAGTCACGGGGGCAGGGTAGGAACTGTTCGCAGCATCCAGTGATGGCGGGTTCACTCAGAGATGCTCCCCTCTGTAGGCTGCAAGTGTAGTTCACTGTCCGCTGTGAATTATTTTCATTCCTGTTCTCAAGCTGTTTCCGTGTTTTCCAACAGTCTTACTTGCTAGCCCGCGTTCACCTTTTGAACTAGCCTGGTTCCCAGTATCCTATATTGCAGGCCTGTCTTATTTCTAACCTTTTTGTTTTTTTTTTTTTCCTTTGTGAAAGCATCACATGTATCTTGGGTTAGCCACCAACTCTATTTGTCGTCAAGAACAACTGAAACTTAGTATCCTCTTGTCCCTACTTCCTGAGTGCTAGGATTACGGGTGTGCACCATAACATCTGGTTTACTGGGTGCTGGGGATTGAAACCTGGGCCTCACGCATCTCATCGTAGGCTAGCACTCTGCCAGGTGAGTTACATCCCCAGGTGTGTATTTAAGATGTTACACATACAGTTTCATGAGGTGTTATAAAATCAGTATGCATATAACACATACACTTTATACTACATTTACATCTACATATACAAACAAGTTATAACTCTATTGTATGTAAAGTAAGCCTTAACAAGATTTATTTAAGCAAATGATGGGGGGGAGGAAGCGACTCAGAAATCCCCAATCACTACTCCGTTCCAACCCCAACCTGTACGTTCCTCCTTAAAGAAAACTTCTTTCTAAGCCTCATGGGGGGGGGCACTCAAGAGGCTGATGTTGTTCAACTGCGGGTTCTGGTGCACCCTGGGATGCAGAGTGAGACCCTGTCTAAAAAAAAACTCCAGGAAGAGATCTCTTCTTTATATGTGTATCACTTATCTAGTTATACCTCTAAAAAAGATTTACCTTTGCCTCTTTTTGCTCTGAACTTGTCCCACTCAGTTTAAGGCCTCCCACACCACGGCCTGTAGATGTACCGTGTTGGTTTTGTTTATACATTTTTACCTAGTGACTGATCATTCCGCAATTTGTTTATAGATTCTGCTGTCGGGGCTATGAGGATTGCTTCCAGTTTTAAATTGACCTCAATATCGCTTTAATACGCATTCTTTGAACCCCTTGTGTCCGGAGGAGGATTTTGGATGCCCTTTCTTAGCATCAGAACCTCTCGAAACGTCTTCTGAGGGTTCTTTACCAGCCATCAGGAGGAGCACGCTCTTTCTGCATTACAAGCCACACTCAAACGTAATGTTTTGAAACAATAAACATTTATTATCTCACACACCCGCTTGTGTAGGTCAGGAATCCGGGAGTGCCTTATCTGTGTGGTTCTGGCTCAGAGTCTCCCATAGGGTTGCAGCCACTGCGTCTGCCAAGGCTGCCGTCATCGGAGACCTTATCTGCAGCCAAAAGATTCACGCCTAAGTCGCTCCTGAGCATGCCTGGCAAGAGACTTCAGTCCTTCTCCACATGGGCACCTCCTGAGAGCTTCCCTGGCGGTCTTTGTCATGTGGCTGCTGACTTCCGGCAAGCTAGGTCGTCTGAAAGAGCAAGCCGAGAGTAAGACACCGTTGCCTCATGATCTGGCCTTGAAAATCATGCGTGCTGTGTAGCATTGGTTATGAGCCAGGCACCAAGGACAGCTTAGAAACAAGAAGAGGAGGGCAAACTTAATTTTTGAAGGCAGGATATGTTTTCTAAGGGACACAGTTTGGGTTGGGGTTGGGGTTGGGAAGGGATTTTGAGTCACAGTCTTCCTGTGTAGTGCTGCCTGCTCAGGCCAGACTGACATCAAGCTCGAAGAGCTCCTCCTGCCTCTGCCTCCTGAATACTGAGATCAAATGCATAGTCTACCAAGCCCGGCCAAAGATGTTTTAAAATCATCAGAAAGCATAATTCAAATCTTTTCACCATTTAGCAAATACAAAATAATTACTTCAGGTACAATAAAATGATTTCAATGCAATAATTTTTAAAAACCCAATCATTTTTTAATTACTAGGCTACGGTTTAACAGAAAAAAAAAAGTGAATGTGCATAGTTTTAACTACCTTCACACATGATCCTTATTGATCACAAGGTGACAATAAATTTGCCATGAAAATACTTGGCAAGAACAGCTATTACCTCATGATCAAAATTAACATCAGGAAAAAGACATATCACTATTGTGTAGCCTCCAGTATGACCTCATTTCAGTGTTATTCCTGCCAAAAACACAGAATTTCAGTTTAATTGTGAAACATCAGATAAACTAAACCCAATTTGGTAAACGTTCTACAAAACAGCACGAAAGTTGTAAAAAACAAAGAAGGACTGATATATTACTTTGGAATAGAGAAAACTAAGGAGATGTGATAATCAAAACCAAGGTGAGACCTCCACGAGAAAAAGTACCCCAAGCAAATGACTGATGAATTCAAATAAGCTCAGTAAATTAGAGTATGCCGATATTAATGTTCTGATATTTAAATTAGAACTGCGCTTACATGAAATGTTAACATGGGGAGGCTGTGTGAGGAATGTACAGAAATTCCTCATATCATTTCATTTTTGCTTTTTTTTTTTTTTTTTTTTTTTTTTTGCTCTTTGCTTGGTACATATGGCCATGGCCATGCTGGACAAGAATTCTACCACTGAGGGAATATCCCTGATGCTTTCTCTTGCAATTTCTTTGATACATCTGAAATTATTTTAAAATGAAAATACAACTAAGTAATGTAGATAAGTACCAGAAGCTCTCAGGGCTCTGACGTAAATGCCAACTGAGAAAAAGCATAGCAGTTTTGTCTATGGCCTCCGTCTGGTGAATATTACACTTGCAATATAACGTGCACCTATTCTACAATGCATATCTGACTTTCGAGCTTACACCTAAAAGTTACCAGTGTCTTTTCACCTGTTAGGCTACATTCACCTTTCTCAGTAGGAGATCCTTCCACGAGTCCCTGGCCACAGCTGGATGGAAGTGAGTGTGCCTCCTATCACTTGCTGAATCTCCCACCTCCAGGTCTTAGAGTAAGCTCTTCCTGTTCTTTAGTCTAGAGATGCGCTCATCTTTCTTAGACACTGGTCTCTACCTATCTGTTTGTAAAGCATCTTTCAGATCTACGTTCTCTCCAAGTGGAATTCATCGCCACGTCTTCAGCTCCCTAGAACACGGATTTCCTACACAGCACTTGTAATGTGTCACACATCTCCATTTGGGGGTGTTTGCTTACATCTTTGTTTCCCTTAGTACTGTTTGTTTATAGGGAACAAAACCCAATCCCCAGTTCCTGACACAAGAATTGGCAAACGACAGGCCTAGCATTAATTTCTAGAAAATAAAATACCCAAACATCAATAGCCTAAAGCAATATACATTTATTTTTGATATATTTTTATTAATTTTTTCATTAATTTAACACTCCATGTCTGAGTGTCAGGAATGCAGGAGTAGCTTAACTGAGCTGTGACTCCGGGTCTTTCCTCAGGCTCAAACCAAAACAGTGCGAGGGGCTGTCACTTGGTGGTAGGGCACTTGTCTGTCAAACATGAGAACCTAGAGCTAATCCTGGCACCGCCAAAGGCCAGGGATGGGAGGAGCCAAGGCTAGAGTCACCCAAAGGCCTGTTTGGGGCTGTTGCACCTACTTCTTTTTTTTTTGGTTTTACGAGACAGGGTTTCTCTGTTTTGGAGGCTGTCAGTCCAGCCTAGCCTCGAACTCACAAAGATCCGCCTGCCACTGCCTCCCGAGTGCTGGGATTAAAGGTGTGCGCCACCAACGCCCGGCCTGTTGCACCTACTTCTAAGTCATCTAACCCACATGGCTGTTGACCAAAAGTTTCCCTTCCGCTCCAACTGTCAGCAGCAGACCTTGGGTCTTCTTCCAAAATGAGCCTCCCTAAAGGTTTCTTAGTGCCCTCGTGGCAGCTGGCTTCCTTCAGAGAAAACGATCCCGGAGAGAGCAAAGCAGAAGTCATAATGTCCGTTATAATCTGTCTATGAAGTAACACACAATTGGCTTACCATATTCTGTTAGTACCATACTGCACAGGGCAGGCACAACAGGAAACAGGGATCATCAGGGTAGTCTGAAGGCTGGCTACCACCGCAGGAACTCCCTCAAAGTCTGTGAGTAAAAGAAGTGAACTTCTTCAGACCACACCCCAAAGCACTTAATGATCAAAGACCCAAAGAGAACCCATTTATCTTAAGGCAGCCTTGGCTCTAAAAATATGCCTAGGAGTTGATTAGGATCACAAACATGCATTATTCATCCACACTGAATAGAAGGATCTTTTCATCCTTCAGGAATATAAACTCAGAGCAGGTCAGAGGTGGCTGAAGTTCGGATGACATGAGTGGCTTCCTGTCCACTGAGTTGGGAGAAGGAGCTTTAGGGAAACAAGCCGGAACCATTGACTCGCTCACGATGATTAGTCTATCTCTATTAAAGGGTTCTTCATAGGTCCAGGCATGCCAGCTGATAGTAAAGCAATAGTTAGGATTTTCCCTGTCCTAATTCCGGGGCTTTCAATACTCTCCTCTACATCCTATTCTCTGAAATTAAAAGTAATACAACCCCTTGGTCATCCCTGTGGATTTTTATTGAAGAGTCTCACCTTACAGAAGAGCTGTGTGCCCTGGAGCAAGACTCCTGACTCCATCTTTGATCTTATCTCTCTTCATCATGCTAGCTCCCTGTGTGGACTGTCCTTTCCCTAACCTCAATGTCAACTCTTACAATCCCACCAGTTTTTCCAGCTCCTGCCAAGTCCCTCCTCCTTCCAGAAGATTCCCTCTCGAGGGCTTGCTTCCCTGTTGGAACAACCATATCTTGTAAGTTTTTTCATTGTTATAGCATATCTCTGTTTTCCAAGCATTAAACACTAAGATGTGCCGTACATATGTTTAGTCTCTGCCTCTCCAAAATAATTGTTCCTTAAATGATTAAATGGACATATTTGATTTTTTCCTTAATAGAGTTTCAATTTACCCCAAGCTCTTCGTTGTAGAAAACTCTGGAGTCAAAGTTTCTGAAGCATTCAGTCTGTTTGTTTCTTAGTCTGCTGCCTTTTGCCTTGCATTGACTCAGCTGTTGTAGATTGTGACCTGCTGAAGGCGGGGTACCTCCAGTGAAACTAATAGTTTACGCAGCATATCGTCTATACACGTCCCCTTTAACAAAGTGAAGCTCACCAATCAGAGGCATTCCTGAAGCCCTCTGAAAACGTGTGTCATGCTTATGGGTGGCTGCATTCCAGAGAGCTGAATATGTTCTACAAAGCATGAGCAGAGCTGCAGAGGGAGAAAACCCGTACAAGGCAAGGGAACTGTGGGTACTCCCAGCTCTGTGCTAAGTGAAGGCTGGGCTGGTGCTGTTTGGAAACACTGAGTCCAGTGGAAAGAGAAAGAGTTGCAGGGAGTAGGGGAATCTGCCCGTGACCAGGAGGTCTCACAGACTCAGCCAATGGAGAAGGTGCTTTATGGGGTCCAAACGTGTGGCCTAAAATCAGAGCAGAGCCCTAGGTAATTTCTAGACTCCTTTCACCAGCTCCACCCTTCAGATTAAGATAGTGCTCGCTTCCCTGGACTTAACCTTCTGTGGTGTGGCTTGGGAACTACAGCTCTGAAGTTGAGGGGGAGGCCACGAGGTACGAGGATGGTGGCTTTGCAGCTCAGAAGCTGGCAAGTTAACCTGAATTCTCAGAACTTCAGTTTTCTTCACTATAAAGCTCTAAACCAAGCTAATAAAACATACAACCTCAGGTGGCGCATTATCAGGCCATAAGCTATTGAAACAATGCAGCTCGGTGCTACCTGAATGGAATTCAGTAGACAGGAACTGCACCCGGCCTCGTTCTCTGCCTTCTGTGTGACCGAATTTCCCCGCCTCACTTTCCCCGTCTGCAAAAGGGGGCTGATCAGGACAGTTTCTACCTTGACTGATGGAAGACAGGATGCCATGGTTGTTGCTCCAGAGCTGATCACATTACAAGCGTTCTGCGGGTGGAGTAGCGGCAGGTGGTAGAAGCTGGCATTGTTGGGAGACCACAGCTAAGACCGGAGAGCGGCTGCTGAGCCGCTGCCCTCCATCTTTCTCAGCTGTGAGACCCTGCTGTCTCCATCCCCCTTCTCAGTAGTTCAGCCATTAACTACAGCGGCTGCTGTGCTGGACTGAAAATCAAGGGTATATGTAAATCACTTAGAACAATGCTGGCACACAGCAGACAGTCACTATTTAGATGTCAGTATCGTAAGCTGTCCTCTAGTTTAGGGGCATTTCTGTCAGTAATTTCAGAGTGTGAGATTTTAAACCACTAAACAAATTGGAAGTTGAAGCGCTCACTGGTGATTAATCTAGACCACCATTTCCCCTGGAAGTAAGGCAGGCTCTCAGCCAGAGCAGTTTGTAAGTGGCCCCAGCTGAGCGTTTCTTCAGTGTGGACATGCAGAAAAGACGTGAACTGTACCTAGTAACCCTCCCAGAGGGAGACAGCAACGTTGTCTCCTTTCTCTGGCCCTTCACCGTAAGGCTGGCCCTGTGGAGGAAGGAGTATATAGTCAGTCACAGGGCAGAATCTCTCACACAAGAGGTCACAGCAATGCTAGCCACTTCAAACCACAGTTTTTTACTTGGCTCCCCCGCGTGTACTGTAGGAACAGGCTAAGCCACTCATTTAGATCTGGGAAAGGTTTACAGTCCAGGAAACATTTTTTTCCCCTTGTCTTCAGCCAATAATCTGGTCACACAGTGATGTCACCCTGTGGTTATGCAAAATGACTTAACTGTTGGAAAGGTGACAGGAATTCCACTGACACCAGGATCACAATGAAACTGCTTAGCAGCTAGCTTAGTCATAGTGCACGTTATAGATAAGTCACTTTCAAGCTGTGATTAACCCAGTGTTCAAACAGCACTGCTGTCGGCACGGTGGCTCATGGTTTAAATGATCATATTCAGTTATCCCAGTGTCTGAGTAAAGCAAAGGAGGTGACCCCTGAACTCCCCAGTAAAGCCAAGCCCTTTAAAGGGCGGGGGTAGGGCGCTATAAAAAAGAAAGCACTTTCTGGCCTCAATTTTCAGCAGGAAGTTTATACAAAATTACTTTGTCTCTATTCTAAAATTAGTGATTGTAACCTCCCCATGATTTTACCAGTCCAAAGACGAGAAGCAGAGCCTGTCCCTCAGAGACAGCCCAGGCTGCTAAGTCTTGTTTTTCTTTTTCTCTCACAAACCTGCCTCTGCCACCAGCGGCAAGAGGTAGACATCTTTTGCCCTGCAGTGTCCATTGTTAGAATACTGCTTTCGTTGTTCTCATTTCTGATTTTGTTTTGTTTTGTTTTCTGGGACAGGGTTTCTCTGTGTAACCTTGGCTGCCCTGGAACTCACTCTGGTTGGCCTTGAATTCAGAAATTCACCTGCCTCTGCCTCCCAAGTGCTGAGATTAAAAGTGTGCGCCACCACTGCCTTACTGACGTGTTTTTAAAGATTCACAAATGCTGAAAAGTACAAAGAAAAGCCTCCTCTCTCTTTCCCTCGAAATAACCTGAACTAAAATGTGGTTTCAGTTTCCAGCGCCAACAAGGGCCATGTAATTTGACACAAGCCCTTGCCTAGCATTGTGTTGGGCATTGAGCAATTAAAAAGACTCCTCTCCTGCCCTTCAAGGAGTCCACAGCGCTTTGTGTCTCTTTTAAAATTCATATTTGCTACACTCATCCTTACTGCACTTTGGAAAATGTAGGTTCTATAATAGGTTAAAAATAAAAAATTATCTGGGCGTGGTGGTGCACCCCTTTAATCCCAGCACTTGGGAGACAGAGGCAGGTGGATCTCTTCGAGTTCGAAACCAGCCTGGTCTACAGAGTGAGTTCCAAGACAGTCAGAGCTACACAGAGAAACTCTATCTCAGGAAAAACAAACAAGCAAATAGAAGAAGAAATAAATTAAAAACTCCTTTGTTAAGAAGTTAGAAAGGGATTGGAAATGTGGCTCAGAGCTCAAGAGCACCGACTACTCTCCCAGAGGACCTGGGTTCAAATCCCAGCACATGGCAGTTCACAACTGTCTATAACTCCAAGATCTGACACCTTCACACAGACATACATGCAGGCAAAACACCAACACACATAAAATAAAAATAAATAAAAAACAAATAAGTTTGAAAATCTCATCCCCAGACTTATTTAGATGTACCTGATTCAACATCCTGGGTTACACTAAAACTGGGGAAGGGAAGTTCCAAGCCTATTAGATATAGTGGCCACCTTAGAAGTGTTTAGTTCCAAGAAAAAGATCCATGAAAGAATAGAGTAGATGCATATATAGATATTAGACATAGAGCAAAGGATTAGCAGCCTACAATTCACACTGCCAGAGAAGCTAGGAACAAGGAGGACCCTAAGAGAGACAGACATGGTCCCCCATGAAGGGGAAAGAGATAAGAGCTCCTGAGCAAATTGGGAGCATGGTGGGGGGAGGGGGAAGAGAAGTAGGAGAAGGAGGAGGGAGGAGGACATGAGGGAACAGGAAGACTGAGTCGGGAGATGAATAGAGGAGAGCAAGAAAAAAGACACATCAACAGAGGGAGCCATTATAGGTTTAAAGAGAAATCTGGCACTAGGGAATTGTACAGAGATCCACAAGGATGACACCAACTAACAATCTAAGCAATAGTGGAGAGACTACCTTAAATGCCCTTCCCTGGTAATGAAATTGATGACTACCTCATATGCCATCCTAGAGCCTTCATCCAGTAGCTGATGGAAAAAGAAGCAGAACCCCACAGCTAAACACTGAGCTGAACTCCTGGAATCCAGTTGCAGAGAGGGAGGAGTGGTGAGCAAAGGGGTCAAGACCATGCTGGGAAAACCCACAGAAACAGCTGACCTGAGCAAGGGGGAGCTCATGGACCCCAGATTGACAGCTGGGGAACCAGCATAGGACTGATCCAGACCACCTGAATGTGGGTGTCAGCTAGGAGGCCTGAGCAGTCTATGGGGACTCTGGCGGTGGAACCAGGATGTATCCCTAGTGCATGAACGACTTCAGGAGCCCATTCCCCACAGAGGAACACTGTCTTAACCTAGATACACTAGGGAGGGCCTAGGCCCTGTCCCAAATGACTTGACAGATTTTGATGACTCATCATCAAAGGCCTCACCCTCCCTGGGGAGTGGATGGGGGATGGGACTGGAAGCGTAGGAGGATGGGAGGGAGACTGAAATGGGATTTATATGTAAAATAAGATTGTTTCTAATTTAAATAAAATTTACAAAAGAAAAGAATAGAGTAGATGAAAGAGAAACAATCACCAAAGAAACGATAGAAGAAAAACTTTGGCTGACTAGAGATAAGTGCTAGTCATCAAGTCAAAAGCACTCTCTGGTAGCCAGATAAGACCACTCAACTTAGAGCTTCAGTCAGCTCTTGGATAACAGACCTTACAAACGCCAAGAACCAAGAGAAAAGTCATGCAACATTACACACATGGAGCAAATTGGGATGGATGAAGTAAGACACAATATTTTACATTACATTCCCTCAGCAAAACAGGTGCTTGCTGTCATTTCCAAACACAGAAAAATAATAGAAAAATGTCCTTCTATATATATAAATATAACACTGATGGTACTAAAATAGAAGTAAAATCAATCCTAGGAAAGTGTAAGAGTTCAAATATCAAGACACACAGAATTTCTTTGATTTAGCATCAGCTTTGGCTCTAAGCTTCCTGACCTGGGATCAGGAATTTCAGAATCATAATCAATAAGATTACTCTTTTTATGATGAAGAAAGAGCATGTAAGTGTCTCAGCAACACGTTATTTTCTGCCAGTGTAATCTATCTTTAAAAGTTTAATGCCGGCTGGAGAGATGGCTCAGTGGTTAAGAGCACTGGCTCCTCTTCCAGAGGACCTGGGTTCAATTCCCAGCACCCACATGGCAGCTCACAACTGTCTGTAACCACAGTTCCAGGGGGGTCTGACACCTCTACACCAATTCACATAAAATAAAGTTGAATTAATTTAGCAAACAAACGCTGATATTAGGAAACAAATTTACGCAAGATGAGGTTGTTAGTAATAGCCATCCTAGAATGGTTATTACTTCAGACGTTACAAGTAGCATTTGACATTCTTATTAGCTTTACCTCAAGTGTCTCAATCAATTTAATAAATATTGCAAAAGCTTACTAGGGAGGGTGGATTGTTTACACATCCATATTGTCACACTACCCATTCACAAAAATTTCACGGAAGAAAATCTTCTTTCATGTGTCATTGATTTATTAAACAAGAGCTGGCTTCAAATTGAATATGGATTTGAGCACCTATAGCATTTCTACATTAGTATGGAAGCATCAGGAATGTATGATAAAAATATAAACCCTGGTTATCATTCAGTGGCATGATTGGCATGCCTTTTTTTCTTTATTTGTTTACACAATTGAATGTTCTATAACTGTATCTGTATTATCTTTGCAAGAACAAAATAAGGATATTAGTGTTTAATATAGAGGCCACAGAGAGGCAGCAGCAAGTGACACTTCTGCCATCCCTTAAGGCAAATCAGCTAGGAGCTCATCCTGCAGAGCAGTGGCCTCTCACCACATATAATAAAGAGAGAGTAACATTTAAATATAGTAAAGAGAGAGTACTGTTTAAATATAGTAAAGAGACAGTACCGTTTAAATATAGTAAAGAGAGAGTACCGTTTAAATATAGTAAAGAGAGAGTACCGTTTAAATATAGTAAAGAGACAGTACCGTTTAAATATAGTAAAGAGAGAGTAACATTTAAATATAGTAAAGAGACAGTACCGTTTAAATATAGTAAAAAGAGAGTACCGTTTAAATATAGTAAAGAGAGAGTAACGTTTAAATATAGTAAAGAGACAGTACCGTTTAAATATAGTAAAGAGAGAGTAACATTTAAATATAGTAAAGAGACAGTACCGTTTAAATATAGTAAAAAGAGAGTACCGTTTAAATATAGTAAAGAGAGAGTAACGTTTAAATATAGTAAAGAGACAGTACCGTTTAAATATAGTAAAGAGAGAGTAACATTTAAATATAGTAAAGAGAGAGTAACATTTAAATATAGTAAAGAGAGTAACGTTTAAATATAGTAAAGAGAGAGTAACATTTAAATATAGTAAAGAGAGAGTAACATTTAAATATAGTAAAAAGAGAGTAACGTTTAAATATAGTAAAGAGAGAGTAACATTTAAATATAGTAAAGAGAGAGTAACATTTAAATATAGTAAAGAGAGAGTAACATTTAAATATAGTAAAGAGAGAGTAACGTTTAAATCAGACATGACTCCATGTTTGCCACGTTATTAGCTGTGATTCCCTTGTTCTGAGAGCGCAGGGCCTCTGCATGCTGGACAGCTCTACCACAGGGACACACTGCCAACCAAATTGTAAATTCGCTCTCTAGCTCCCACCTTCAAAATGGAGGCTGGATTGTTGTGAGCACTAAATGAACTCAGACACAGCTGAAATGCTTAACAAATACAGCATGCTTGCCCTACACCTTAACAAGTGCAGCATGCTTGCCCTACACCTGCAAGCGCTTTCCCGGTTCTCTGCACACGCGTTTTCTTGCCAGCCACAGCTTTTTTGCATGCAGTTGCTCTATCAAAGGCCCAGTCTCTCTCTGCTCGTGTTTACTGCATGGGAGTGGAGAGTTACTGCAGTGCGCTGAGTAGCAGGCAAATGTTGTGTCACTTCGCTTCAGACGGGTTCCATATTTTCCAAACACTCACGTACCTGTGAATTGTCTGGTCTTTATTTCTAACGCGTTTGTCTCTTGTTAAGTACTTTACATAAGTCACGAATAACCCTAAGAGAACTGTGCTGTTTCTGTTTCTATCTCCCTGGCTCCTACTTTGTGAAATGGATGTTTGGCCTGTTACATCACCATCATGCTTGAGGCACATAATCAGAATTTAATTTCAAGACATTTAGCACCCTAGAAATGCACGCTCCATTTTCCTGTGTCTTGCTCTGTGTGTCAATATGCTTATGATCTTTCCTATTTTTTTTTACATTAGTTGGTTTGTAGTCAGGCTCTCTGACCTATGTTGGAACCTCATTATTTGTAGAGAAACTTAAGGCAGAAAGGTAATGATGCTGGTGTCTCTTAACAGTTAGGCTGTGGGTTTAAAAAACTGAACCTACTAACTCTTCTTAAAGAAGCCATCAAATTTACAACATGGCAAGGCGTCCCGGTAAAGGATGCTCTGGGTCAGTCACAGCTCTGTCTCTTCATAACCTTACTTTGTAGTTTTAGACACAGGCAGTTGGGCAGTTGTGGACGGCCTGTAGGACGCAGGGATGGGCTCTGTCCTGATCTGTGTGGAC